AACTACATAAAGTGGATGTGGTTTACACATCATGTTTAATGGGACTGACCCCATTACATACTCAGTTTTAGCTGTACTTATTCGACAATTTTGTAGAACATTAATAGTGCTTGCCGCCTCTAGAAGAAAATCTACTACCATTTCAATAATTAGCGTCTGAAACTCCTAAATACAACTAGCTTTCACATCTCTCAAAATTATCTCCTGGGATGTCTCTTTAACGAGGTACTGCACATTAGTGCCCACTCACAAGACAGCCTTCTAGCGTCAAGACTGCAAGCGCGAAACGCTTTCAGAGAATTTTGATCATAGCCAGCTTTATAGCCATATCAACATCCCTCATCTAGAGGCAGATATTTCCTCCGTACGTACCCGCAAACACCCAGCGTTTACATGCCGCATGATGGGCGCCGAAAGTGCTTTTGCTGACGCTCTTTTACTGTGTTCTTGGAGGGGGCTCGCCAGCACAATTCTATAAATGGTATCTACTTCCGGGTGAGTAAATCACCGCAAGTGATCCTTGGTCGCTAGTCCTCTGATCTCTTCGGCATCAACTACAGCCATATGCCTATCGGGCGAGTCTTGTTGTCCTCGGGATAGGTAATTGGACAAATCTTCTCAAACCTTATACAGTATCTGAGCACTTGGTCACCCAACTGACTTTAAGTGCTGCTAAGCGCAACGTTGGGGGTGCGAACTTTGCACAAAGAAAGTTTGATTCAAACATTGCTCCAACGATGCATACAAGTCAGGTTTGTAAGCTCCACCTAGAAGCGAGACCTAGAGCCTCTAAATAACTAAATATTAAGTTTGCTCTTTGCTATGCAATTTGAAGAGTGATAAAATTGGACTAGACTAAGGTTTAACATATGCATTTTACAATATTCACTTATAAATTTACATGTGTTGTATGACCTGAGGCTGACAGCCCACGTGCTCTACAAACCATTTTTTCTGAATCTCATTGTTTTCAATAGTACCATATTTTGGAATTTCCGAATATTCACAATCACACAAAATTGTGATTTGAAGCTCGTTCAATTGTACATTATTGCACTTCTTTCTAATTGTAAGGTGTAAGTACACAATAATTAGTCCTTTATTCATTGCAACACAGTCGGTATTATCGTTTTGAATGCTGTTGACCTTCGGCTTCAGTAACTTTGACTACAGCTTTACAAAATACAGGTTGATTGCTTGTTTGGCATCATTGATACGACTTGCTGGCCCACTTCTATTCTTGCTTTTTGGTCACCCAGTTTCTTGGCTCCAGACATCTAGCCGACAATTGACTTTCCTCTCGCGAATATATCTTCAAAATCGAAGCTGTGGACGCTGCAGACTCATCCCGTCTACTAATAGCGCTTTCTGCCAATTGCATTGTGATGTTGTCCAATCTTTGTACTCTTGTGGCTTTCTTGACCGTAGCGAAATTATTCGGATACTGGTGGCTTACAGCGTAATGTTAAAAAAACCAGCTGCATCCTTTTTTTCGATAAGAATTAATTAGTAAGAACGCTCAATTACAAAGGCGATCTGATGTCAAAATGTTGACGCCGCGGTTAAACAGCACGAATTTCGGGTGTTAGACAAGGAGACACTTCTTTCAGGAACAATGATACAACGAGGTAGCGAGAAAGTTACAAGCTCTGTGTACTATCATGCTAGAATTGCCGCAAAGCGACAGGCTATCATCGATAGAACACTGTGAGTGTGAATGTCACTGTGTGTCTGACTATATTGCGAAGCCAATGAGATTACAATACGCAATTTTGTCAACGCAACCGACACAAGTGTATGATTTGCCCGCCCAAGCAAATTTGACAAAAAGAGTATATATTCAAGTATTTTTAAGGATAGTGTTGAGCTCACTTTACTAAAAGCCCTCACTGACATAAGGCATCTAAAATCTAGCGTGGCGGTAATCAGCCACAATTGCTGCATCAACGATGTCCACTGTTGTCAACAGCATTGGCTACCCTTTTCACATAATACATCCATTAGAAAGTATTGAGTAATATATACTCCAACATGAAAGGAGTCTACTTGGGGCATCTATCCATTTTTTTGAAGAAGCGATTCTGAGCTTCGAACTGTTTTACATAGTTCACACGGCACAGATATTGACGTTAATGATTACAATTCGTGTTTACGCTTGGGAAGCTGAAGACAATTTTACGCAGTATAAGTCCGAAGACGGTTGATAAGTTTATACGATTTTAATCGAACCGTCTTTTGTGAGCTATATTGGAACCTACGCTACGACAGATGTACAATCAATGCTACTGAAATGGATGACTTCGCACGGCCAGATTTAATGGCATGCTTATTTAATGAAATCATACGACGGCTCAACATGATAACCCCGGGGACCTCTCCATACTACGGAATTTCACGAACTGCCAAAATAAAAGCCACATGCTATGCATGAAGTCACGACAAACGTTTCGTTGTTGACATGGAAAAACGAAATTTCGTTTAGCTAATTTATAAGTCATGTATATACGCACTCTAGACTGACAGTTCCGACAACTCAGCTTGACCGGCTTAACGCAAAACTCAAGCTAATGATCAGCAAATTCTGCTTGACATTGTTACGATATTCCACTTTTCAGATATAAAAGGTCGTCTGCAACGTAACAACATTAGAGATTTGACACAAGTTTCAATGGAGAACAGAGGTCAGTCAACATGTCCATCAGATACTGAAACCACCAAACATTTTGCTTTAGGGATAAAGTGTGGCTCGTTTCCAATAGAGATCTTTCCTTCGGTCTCTCGATGAGAAGATCGATCGAGCTTGGTCATATTTGCGAATGACATATTTGCGAATATATACTAAGATAGACCTACCTTTAAAAAGCTCTACGAACTCCGCTATACAAGTGTTACTCGATATTATTTGCTATTCTTTTCTGAAAGCTCTTTAGTGCATCGAAAGACAATGCTATGTAACAGTGAAGAAGCGACTTCGGCGGCGTTTTTCATTAAGCATACTCCATCTTAGTTTTCATTTCGCAAGTTTGGAGAAGCTGCTTCATGAACAGCGGGGTCTCAGTTGGTGGCGCCAATCAGCGCATGATCAACAGTATTACGGCTGTTTAGCACTGAAAGATTGGTAATAGAAGTGGATCTGGTTTTTGAGTAATTTAACGTAAAATGGTCATTTAACGAAGGACCTCATCCTCAAGGGCTCGAAGAGCATCACGAGTCACCGAACGGCGGTCGACCCGGTCGTCACCGCCCGCCACCGACTCTTCTCGATGAAAACGGTGACGTCCACTATCACGTGGAATGTCTTGTGGGACGACGTCGTCACCAGAGTCAAACCCAATATCTGGTGAAATGGCGGGGATATCCCGACTTCGAAAACTCGTGGAAGTTGGAGGGGCCACTTCGGCAGGATTGCCCAGTCGCCGCGGACACTTTTGATTGGAACGATCAGGACATCCCGCGTCATCAGATACTCCGCGCTTTCCGGCAATAGCCAGGGAAGTAGAAAGGCCATGAGCAGAGCTCAAGCAGCGGCGCTGAGCTCTTGCGGTCGAAGACACAGAGCTCACGGGAGCATTAGGGGTTAATCCATACGTCGCAGGGCGACAATCCGAAGGAAGTCGATGGCGTGCCTTGAGTTTGACAAACTCAAATCGGACGTGTCGCTTCACACGCACGCCCACTTCCTTGTGGCTCAACTGTAGGTTATAGAGTGAGGAAAGTTTCCGGTGCCGTTGCACCCATCGCTCAAAGAGCGCTTCGTCATATGTAGTGCTTTCGCCAGGGGCGAGCACTTCAGGTATTGTCCGTATTGTGGGTAAACAAGAACCACCTAGTTGAGCACGTAGACGAGTGCGATAAACGTCTAACAGAAATTCTTTTGGGACCAAGAACGAGCTCGAAGAGCTTCCCGTGTGGCAATCTCATCTTCCGTTTTGGTCGGGGGCCCGATGATGTGGACGCGTAACGATCGAATTACCGCGTCCTTCGCTTCCAAAGCGGGATCCGCAGGGCGGACGCCATATTTCACACGAGGGTCAATGAATGACCGTGGATGGGCGCGCTTTAGAGCCGCCCAATGGGCAGCTTCAAGCTACCGCCTCTGATCCCCGTCGAGGTCATTGGTGATTACTCCACGTTCCTCGGCTGACGAAAAGTCAGGGAACGGACATGGGGTCCGCAAGGCGCGAGCAGGGCTCATATTACGCTGCTGGCGCAGCTCGCCTTCCTCGTCATCCCATGCGGGAAAAGTAGTGTCAGACTCGTAGTCGACCACCTCCACATCCTCAACGAGATAAATCGTCATTGATAGCGTGCACAAAGCGCGACGCTCGTGCTAACCGAGCCTAGGACGTACATCCCCCGGTGCCGCGGACGCACTGTCCGACATCGCACCGCGTGCGGTAGACGTAGTTGGGCCAAGCCCGTGCTCGCTGTCAAAACCAGCGAGACTTAGTGACTTCCGTGTCGTGGACACAGGGCTCATTGAGCAAGGAAGTTGTTTAATTAAAATGAATTAATTTGCAGTGTCTCGCGGACACGCGAGCCTCATTGAGGCAATAATCGATTAGAACTGTAAATCTTAATGGGGGAGAGTGTAACGGGATTACGCGTACCATGGTAACAGGGGTGTGTGTCACACGAGATGTGCATGGTGTGACTGCACCCAAACTAGAATACGGTATGTGGCTAGGTAGTCAGTTTATGCATGTATCTAGAATTTACTATATATAGTATATTTAGGAAATCTCGAACTTCTAAAATTAGGATAAAAACTAAAGAAAATCAGTTCTGGATTTTAAAAGGAAGAGCGAATTAGCCTTGGGTACGGCAATAATTACTCTTGGATTAGGCAAATTGCGATCAGCTAACTCTTCCTTGTTCTAAGTATAGAACGAAAGGTCGGTGACCTAAATTACGCTTCCTCAAGCGCTCAGCTACGGCAGCCCCGCTGCACCTACCATCTTACGCTTTGGGGTATGGACAAAGTTTGTCGATATCACGCGATGATAAGATTAAAAGCTGTAAGCGCTGAGGGGCTTCATGTGGTGAGGCGGGAAGGAGGGGGGGGTAGCCTCGAGGAAGGTGTAGAAAGAGAGCATCGGGATTCGGTGGGAAACCTTGACTATTTTGATCAGAATACTTCAGTGATAAGGTCTTAATGACGTCGTCCATAGGGGCCACATCATTCTCATCGGCTCGTCGAGTTATGTGCAATAGTTGGTGACTAAGAAATAAATTTTTGGTGTGGTAGATGTCGGACCAAATTCCTGTTTGCTGTGACTCAGGAAGAAAGGTATATGGTTTGTGACTTCCGCAAGATTCACATCATGGGTACGTACTTTGTTGTGGAGTAAGTAGATTAGACACGATTTTCCTTGAATATCGTAGTGATGCACTATGAACAAGTGTCACTTAAGTAAGTCAAAGTGATGATCTTTTAGAAGAAGAAGTCGTGAGTTGTGTGTGTTGCTAGTAGGGTATCATCAGTACAGGTGAGAATATGTACGTGATAAGTATTAATTAAAGTATAAGTTTGCTCCCGCAGACCCAATTTAAGACCTGCGGTGCGGCTGGCGGGTTCAAATGACCACAGGGTGATCTTTTTCACATCTACGACTATGTTATGGTCTTGAGCGGTCTCGTTAAAGGTCGCTGCGACTCTTGCGCTTGGAAACAAGGAAGTTTGGTTCACTGACCGTATTGGAAAACTTTTCGAAGCCCTTCGTAGGCATCTGTAACATGGTCTCAATCTAAGCCATTATTTACCAGAGCCCCTTGGTAAAGGCCAGGCAGTAACATACTTTACTATGACGGCTTTGATTTCTGCGTCGTAATGGTATCTCGAGGACCTTTGGCTTACCTGAGTCGCAACATATGCATTTCCATCATGTTGCTAATGTACAAACTGTCACACGCAGAATTGCTATGTCACCCCGAATTCCGAATGAAGGTAGAGACGGCGGTACCACGAGAACCACAAAATCTTGTATCGCCTTCTCTTGTTCATGTATTGTGTAACAAATTGTCGAGTGATGATAAACATTGCTTCTTCGTCTTTAACAAGCCATTTGTTCGTGATGCAAAGGAACACACAATTTCATTTCCGCCTTCACTCTAGCAACCACTTTTCGGCGCAAAAGTACCCACGATCACAATCAATATGAAGTTGTATGCTTCCCTTTCAGTGGGCTTCATCGCTTTTTTTTCGCCAAAGGTGAACGCAAATGGCGTTTGCTACGACCCAGATCACACTAGTGTCAAGAATGCCATGACTGTTCAAGAAGACATGAAGACCATCGCTAATGCTGGCTTCACCAGTGTGCGAACATACATTTCCAAGTTTGGTGACACAGAAATGGGCTCAATCATCACAGGCGCGGGACTTACGGCTGTCCTGGGGGTGCCGTACCCGCAAAGTGACTACCTGGATCAGATGGAAGCAGCTATTTCAGCTGCCAACGCTGGCGGTGTCTATGCCATCATGGTTGGCAATGAAAACCTGGCAGGGGCTACAAGCGTGCCAAGTGACATGATCGATGTCATCAACCAAATCAAGAGCCGCGTGTCTTGCAAGGTTGGCACTGTTCAGCGTAATACTGAGGTTATCGGATTTCAAGGCATTTCAGGTTGGTCAAAGCTCGTTTCGAGTGTTGATATCATAGGTGTCAACTTACACCCGTTCTTTCACCCCTCTACGACTGCTGATGGTGCTATCGACGTCGTGGATAAGCAATGGCAGATAATGATGAGTAACTTCGGCGACAAGCTGTTACTAACCGAGACTGGATGGCCGTCTAGTGGCTCTGTACTTGGCAACACCGGGAGTATAGCAGGCGAGCAAATATTCTTCAGCGCTTACCAGACGTGGAGCAGCGGGCTCAGCGAGAAATTTTACTTTCAATTTTTCGACACACCGGGCAAGCCAGAAGCTTTTGAACAGAGTTATGGTTTGTACACTGCAAACTCACAGCCAAAGCTTATTGCATCCCAACAGCCACAGCAGATGAATCCGTCGTCCCCACCATCTTCAGCGTCTACATTACCAACTTCAGCTCCTGCACCACCAACGGCAGCATTACCTCCAGTGACCGCTGCACCGGCTCCGACGGAAGCTTTAGAGCCATCCGTCGACGATCCGAAACAGGAGGATTCGACTATCAATCCAGGCACATCCGAAATCTCGTCTAGCCCGGAAACTCACCAGGAGTCGGAACCAAGCGCAAGCAACACGACATCTTCAAATCCATTAACGCCCCTAAGTATCAGTAGTGGCAATGATACCTACAGTGGCAACTCTGCTATATCGAATACACCCGAAAACTTGTCTACCAACCTAGTCACCAAAGCGGAATTCAGATCTATCGAAAAAACCGACACAGAGTTAATTGGCTCCGTTGGAAAGAGCACAGAAACTCAGCGAACAACCGGTAGCGGCGACAACAGTGCACAGACGATAAACAATCAAAGCGAGGAAGCTGACAGCAACCACGGCATCATTGGACTTGCTGTCGGCGGCGGTGCCTGTGCTATGCTAATCGCCTTTGGCGTTATCTACCAAGCTCGCAAGCGTGCAAAAGGACTAGAATATGAGGACAAGGATGTACATTTTCAGGCCGCCACGCCTTAGAGAAGTTTTTGTACACGTAAGCTACTTGTATACCATGTATGTCGACGTCTGCGAATAAACTTTGTATTGATTAGTGTAAAAGGTTACTTTTCATTTCTCTACTGGGCGATGGCAGAAGTTGGCTAATGTGTAGGCGACGCAGATGCATTCGCCACTTCTTTCGTAGCCCCCAGCTCTACAGGAGTAATCGCAGCCGCAGATGTTTCAAAACTACTGGCACTGACTCTCTTTTGCATCGAATTTAAAGCTGTGACAGTTTTAGCAGCCACGATACTAGCACGGAAGCGTCGACGAGCGTTGTAGCGCGCCATCTCCTTAGTGACGTGCGGCAATATTTTTCCACTGACACTGCGAATATTCGCTACCCATGGGTGATCAAGCACCTGCTGGGCGGTCAGACGCTTCAGCGGGTCGACCACTAAAAGCCTCGAAATTAAGTCCTTAGCCGAATCCGACACGCAGTCCCAGTAAGGACTTGGATAGTCATAGACACCTGATTTTATTGACTGGAAGAGTGCAGCGTTATTTTCGTCGTAAAACGGTGGAAATCCACACAGCAAAATATAGGCAATAACTCCAAGACTCCAAAGATCCACTTCAGCTCCATACGGGCGGCATTCCAGAATTTCTGGAGCTACATAGCCAGGAGTGCCACACGCAGTCTGCATTAGTGAATCATCTTTGATGAGTTTTGCGAGTCCAAAATCGACGATCTTAATCTCGGCGTCATCATCTGTAGACTGGTACAACAGATTTTCAGGCTTCAGATCACGGTGCACGATACCCTTTTGATGACAATAAAGTAAAGCATCTGATAGCTTCTTGACAACGCAACTAGCTTCTTTTTCTGAGTACTTTTCCTTTTCCACAATACGATCAAAAAGCTCTCCCCCACTCATTTCTTCCATAACCATGTAAAAGGTCTTGTGACAATCAAACACTTCTCTAAGCTGCACAATATTCGTATGATGCACTAATTGCAACACCTCGACTTCAACTCGTAAAGCTTCCTCATCCTCAGCCGTAAGACTTGCTTTGTCAATACATTTAACAGCCCAACGCGAGTTGTCGGCTTTACTAATTGCGCTCTTGACTGTCGCAAAGCTTCCACTACAAGATGGCGTCAGTTTCCACATGTAAATACCAAATCAGAGCCACTTACGTTCCAAGCGTTTTACCCAATTTGTAATATTTGCTGCATTCGTCCTTCTTATAAAGCTCTGTAACTTTCTTAAAAATGCCCGTCATTGTCTAGTGGCTCTGAATAATCTTGTTCGAGAATGTGGAGCGCGGTTGCCTTTGCTTTGAGTAGCCCCTTCGAAATCTTGTCGAGACAATTATAGGCGATAGTGAGAAGCAACAGTCGTGGTATGTGTAAACACCATGAGATTTAAAAGGACCAAAAGTGTAAAAGTTCGTTCGCGTTCATAGGTAGCCGTGAACTATCAATAGGCTGTTTCTAACGTCAATGTTTCTTCTGGTAAGTCCATAACAAAAATCGCATGGAAGTTATGGTGCTAAATGTGCATGTAATGTGTAAGACATGACTTTGTTTTGTACTAAATCAACGCACTGAGATATAAAAGTGATCTTAGAGCAATTGAATAAAGTTTGTTGTCCTTTCATCTAATATGGACGGACAGCCTTGCGCGCCTTCCTGATTCCAGCAGAATCAAGTCCTGTCACTTTCATTACCGATGATGCATGACTGTCCTTCATCTTAGCTGATGCACCAGGTACTGCCCACTTACACAGCCGCGTGTCCTCGCCTCCTGTATACAGCGTCGAATTTTCCGAGTCATAGTAAATGCAGCGAATGCAAGCTTTGTGGCCACTCTCAAGGGCCATTTCGTGCTTAATCTGACCGGCTGAGGTGGCATCTGTTCCAATAGTGACGATATTTAAGTCACCATTGTGGTTGCCTGCCAGTAGGAATAACTCGTTTGACTGATCTTCATACACACAATCAATTAAATAATCAGTCGCAATGCCGCTCTTGTTGCAGTCATCGCGAATTGTATCGTAGTGGTGCAAGCGCTCGGCTGTCCAGATATTCCACAAGTCAATCGTCTCAGTGCCTGTGAGACAAAAAATGTTTTCTCTTTGTGGACCAAAAAAGCCGATGGTTGTGACTGCACTTTCAACGTTCAAAATGCTCTCGATCGCGTCGTCTTCGTCAGGTATGCGGCAGTCAAAGAAGCATACGACCCCGTCTTCGGACGCTGTGACCACAAAGGCTTGTTGCGTCGGGTGAAATCGCACTTTGGTGATCGCATTTCCGAGGCTTTCACCGTATTGGCCCACATTTTTTCCTGTGCGCACGTCATAAAACAAAGCGAGGTCGTCGGTACCTGTGGCTAAAAGCGTTTCGCTACAGCCAATTGAGAGACTCCAGACTTCGCGTCCTACAGGTATCTCCATAGTTGGTGAAGCCACACGCGTATCCCACAGCTTGACGTACTGATCGCTAGAGCATGTGGCTAAATGAAAAGGCGAAGACGGAGATGTCCACACTTCATTAATGGTGCTAGCATGAGCGTTGAACTCGTGAAGTAATTCTAACGTTTCGAGATTTCGTAGCTGCACTTTGTAATTAGACAAAGCTAGGGCTAGACTAGTTTTGAGGGCCATAGGTTTGCAATCCAATACGTAATCATAGTCGAATTCATTGTATGGATTGAGTACCGATTGGGATGCATCACTTGGCGAAGCAAACGCTGCCACCGTTGTACGCGCTAGAGATAGGCCTCGCATGCGTCGAACCACTTCCTGTATTCATATTCAAGGACGGTGGAATTGCTATGAGATCATTGGATAAATTCATTTAGAATAATGCTATCCAATCGCTCCCCACTAAACAGCCACAGGTCTTTTTACTATTATTTTGGTGAAGTACTATTAATAAGACTAGCTTGTTTTTTTAAGCGTAGAGCTATAATAAACGTGAAAGTTGGTCAAGCCGGTGACGAATTTTTAAAAATCAATACAGTATTATCGCGAAAGTATTTATTTCAAAATTCACATCAAGTCATTGTTTAGAACAGTCCAATTATGCATAAAAATGACGAAGGGACGCCGTAAATTGCCTTGGTACGGTTAATCCATAATGTCCGATATTGCAGCACGAAAAAGTATTCAATAGCAGGATAGGTAAGTTTACACCATTATTGTGCTGCTTATAGTCAGGTCTACAAAAAATAAAGTTTGGTCCCCTCGTATAGTAGTAGTCCAAACCCATCAAATTAATGGAAGGAGAAAATGCTATGAATTTTGGCTGTGTAACACTCCCATAGCAAATGATTTTGTGCTTCTGGCGTACAACAATCATGAACAAAACGACTATCCTTAGTGTACCAGCAGTTTTTCTATCAAAACTGTATATTGGATGAGATGGAACGAACGTCGTTGATACTTCATTGTGTAGACCAGTACGCGAAGATACTTTACCAAACTGCAATAACTGCATCAATAGTTTAGGGAGTGAAATTAAGAAGGCGGTTGAAATTTTCCACAGTATAATTAATGGCTTGCCAGAGCAGAAAGCATTTTTATGAGGGATGGGTAGATAACGAATGTGCCATAGTGACTCGTTACCATATTTTAGAAAATTTCTTCTTCTTGAATAAGTGACTGCTAAGAGTGAATTAAGCAACCGGATTTTAACGAATGAAGAGGAAGTTGAAGCAGAATTGAGAGGAGCACGAATTGGAAAGTGAGATTTCGTAGATAGGTTTCCTACACATGCATGTGATTCTGAAGGAGGAGCCACCATCCAGACAAGCAGTGTTTACGGCTAAAGACCGTAAACTGAACACCAGGATTACGGTCAGCACACCCAGAATGCCGTAAACCATAGAGCCTTGAGTACGGCTCACCGTAGTCAAGGTTGAACGTCACCGATGGGTGATGAGTTGCCGCCAGCGTGGTATGGTTCACGCTTAGGAGCAACACTCCCTCACAACTCGATCACTCAATGAGACCACACAACCGTCGGACGTAAACAAGAGGGGCGGCTTCGTCAGGAGGTCGGCCAGCTGTGACTCGGTCAGGACATACTGCAAGCGGATGGAGCCTTTTCAACGTGATCACGTACAAAGCGTGCCCGTAAGTCGATGTGCATGGCGCGTGGCGTGTATCCTTGGTTGTTTAAGATACTAATTGCTGAGGTGTTGTCCATCAGATGGTCGTGCCACCGGTCGCCTTCAGGCCAATTTCACCAAAGAGATAGCGGATTTATAATACCTCTTATACGGTAAGTGCAAGTGACATGTATTCGGCCTCAGCGGATGCGAGGGCAACTGTAGACTGGCGCTTGCTCTTGTATACGACAGGATCATCACACAGCATCACAAGTACGCCAGATGTCGAGCGTCGACTTGCTTTGTCCCCACCCCGGCTCGCATCGCTGAATACCCGGAGTGGAACCGCATCACCATTGCCCCTGTGGTATCGAATACCGACCCCAATCGTTTTGTTTGGGTATCACAGCACACGTTTGGCGGCGCGCCGATGAGCAGACGTAGGTCGATCAAGGTACTGGGACAGAATCGAGAGTGCAACTGAGATGTCAGGCTGGGTTGATCGCCACATATAGCAAAAAGCCAACAAGCTCTCGGTACCGATGCTTATCGTCAAAGGCATCATGCGTCGCATCAATGGTGAAGTCTTGACCAATGACGAGTGGATTGCGGACGGCGTTAGCATTGAGGCCGCCAAACTTGGTTAACATCTTGTTAATAAACAAACTTTGCCTCAAGATCAATTGCCCTTTATCTTACTCGTGTGTAATCTCCATTCGGAGCACATATCGGGCGAAACCGAGCGACTTAAGCACAAAATACTCTCGCAATTCGTCGTAGAAGCCGCCAGCACTAGCTTGTGTCTTGCTTCCAACAAACAAATCATCCACATACAACACCATGTAAACAACAGTCGTCGACGTTGTCTTCTGGGCGTCGGATGAAGAAGAACGGATCAGCATGGCTAAATCCGAGGTGTTTGAAGACTGACCAAATCTCTTGAGCCATGCTGATGCAGCCTGTTTACGGTTATACAAGCTGCGGTGTACTCCACATACTATTTCAGGTTCGACCTTGATCACCGTCGAGGAATGCCGTTTCGACGCCATACTGCCGGATCGCTTAGTCTTTTGCGCAGCATATAGACAGAAACGTTTGAATAATGGTAATGCTGGCCACAGGTGAGTAGGTATCGAAGTAGTCAACACCGTGTGTCTGGAGGAATCCGCCGGCCACTAGTCGAGCATTGTGTCGTACCACGTTACCACGCTCATTATACTTTCGAGCAAACACCCATCTCGAGCTAATCACTTTACACCGCGAGGCTTCGTGACAATATCCCACGTGTGATTCTTCACATGAGAGCGTATCTCGTTTCGGATTGCTTCTTTCCATTCGGCAGCTTCGGGGGTTGCTATGGCTTCTTGGTACGAATTAGGCAGATCATTAATAGCAAGAGCGATCTCGTATGAGTCGTCACGTTGTCTCTTGCTATCTGGTACTGCAATAGCCTCAATATCAGGTTGATCACAAGAAGGATCGTTGGGAAGAGCCACAGCATGATCGGACCCATTTGTCAGCAGTCGAGTTTGGTCGAATTCGAGTCGGTGAGGGTGAGTGCGTTCACCGCTGGAAACGAGACGGTAACCGGAGGATAGGGTAACAATGCGTATTGTCTGACTAGAGCTTGGGACGAACCATTGGATGAGGAAACCATGGGATACCTAGAACGGGTGCTAGCAGGGAGAGTGATGTTTGAGACACGAGCCTGTGTGTCAATTGCAGCATGCGAGCGGTCTTCACTTCCCCCCGCAATTGGCATCAGCGAGCGGATATCAGCATTAGTCATCGAGTCTTCTACTTCCATTTCCTCAGGTTCAGTAGCACTTGGTGTTGACCTTCATATCTTCTACGTTTTTCCGTTGAGTAGGAAGTGGTTGAGCTTGAGAGTCATCATCGTCCTCAATGAGTGGCACATAATTATCGCCTTCATCATGGAGCAGCATAACAGTACGATGCGATGGAGAAAGGCATTTGTCAAGCTAAATCGTCCGCGTGGTCACAATGCGCTGGTCATCAAAATCCCAAACACGGAAACCTTTCGTCGTGTCGGAGTAGCCGAGGAAGATGTATCGATATGCCTTCGAATCCCGTTTCGAACGCTTTAATTCGTCAATCTTGATACACCCAGTATATCCAGATACCTTGAGATGTTCTAACGATTGTCGCTTGCCTGTCAACACTTCGAGATAACTCACTTAAGGGCAAGCTGTGTTCGAAATACAATTGATGTTATGAGTGGCAGTTACTACTGCTTTAAGCCACCATTGCCGATCGACGTTCACGTTTTGAAGCATTGAACGGGCCATTTCCACGATTGTCCGGCTCATGCGTTCCGCTAAGCCATTTTGTTAAGGCAAATATGGTACACTGCTTTGGTGAATGATACCATTTTCTGCACAGAATCGGTTGAACTTTGCACTGGTGTACTCACCATCATTGTCACTGCGGATACAGCGAATTCTCACGCCGTGCTGATTCTTAACCAACTTCTTGAACTCAGCGAATTTGCCGAACACTTGACCTTTGCTCTTCATTATGTACACACTGACATATCGACTAAAGTCATCAATGAAGGTCACCAATTACTGAGATCCACCACGAGTCTTGGGCTTTAGTGGACCCATGACGTCGCTGTGGATAGGTTCGAACAGTGAATTCCATTTCACCTCACTACTGGATTGGCGATCAAACGAAGAGGGAGAGGACGCCATTTTGCCTCGAGCGCAGCCGTCACATACAATAGCGACATCATTATTGTGATCGATCGACGGGATTCCGTCAGCAGCTTCCACAAGCAGCTTGACGTTAGCTTGCGACACGTGTCTAAGACGAGCATGCCAAGTTGTTCTGCCACCATTTAACTCTTCACTTTCGTTCGTCTGCGACATGAGTGCATGTTGGCCAACGTGCCAAACATACAATTTACCTATTCGAGGAGTTCGAGCAATCACCTTCTCATCAATCATTAACGATGTAGCATGAGTATCAAAGTGGATGAGGACCCCGTGCGCAGTCAATGCGGACACCGGTACTAGCTTGCTCTCCAGGTGCGGGACATAGAGCCCTTCCGTGAGCTTAACACTACAACCATCAGCGAGAATCATACGAACTTGGCCAAATCCTCTTGCTTGGAGTCTTTGCACACTGGCAGCCATCACACTGATGGGCGTATCCAATTGACGATAGTCACTAAAATCATCAAGCATTCCAGACACGTGGCAGCTAGCTCCACTGCCCAACAACCACGTTGAGTTACCTTCTGTCTCATTGGAGATCACCGAAAAAACGAACTCGTCATCACTGCTCTGCTTCTGCTGGGGTAGAGTCTCGTCGCTTGTGGACATACTTACCAAATCCATGACAGTGGCCGTTGAGCCGACCACCACTACTACGCGGAGCATGGATCTTCCAGGCACCATGACCACTGTAACCGTTGCCATTGCGACGTCCATTATAGCCATATCGACTACATTTCATAGCGATCATCACCATTACGAGCAGGACGATGCTTACGTTGAGAAATGCTGGCCTTGAATGCAGCTTCTTTCTTGTCACGACGCGTGAGCTTCTCATGTTCTCGACGCAGCATATCTTTCGCATCCAAGAGCGTGACGCCACTTGTAGCTTCGATGATTTTGACCATAGCATCATAATTCTCAGGCAGACTGCCCACTAGCACTACAAGCTTTTCGTCGTCATCGATGCATTCACCAGTGGAAGAGATTTTGAGATACAATTCCTCAAAGCGCATCGAAAGCGCCATCAGGTCGCCTCCGGTTTCAAGCTCAAAATCACTTATTTGCTTACGAAGTTGAATACGGCTGTGCAAATTCTGCTTTGCAAAAAAAAACGCCGTAACATTATCCATGCTTCCAATGCCGATTACGCATTGCGCGCCATTGATTGGTATGTAGGATTAAGGAGCTTGACTAAGACCGCCAGAGCCGTCAGGTCTGAGGCTTCCCACTCCGGTGTGTCGTGCTGCGCGGCTTGTTCTGGTTTGATGATGATGTGATCAATCAAGGACTTGCGGGCAAGAGTCATCCGAGCGTTGAACTTCCGTAGGAAGTAGTTGTCGTCCCGAAGGACATCGTTCGGACCGACTGGACTTGGGCTCATAACCGTTAGCGAGTGAAGAGGAACTTGAAGCTGAACTGTGCAGAGGAGCACGAAGTGGAAAGTGAGAACTCGAGGATTTAGGTTTCCTACATATGCATGTGACTCTCAAGTAGAAGTTACCATCCAACCAAGCAGTGTTTACAACTAAGGACCGTAAACCAAACACCAGGATTACGGTCGGCACACCCAGAATGCCGTAAACCATAGAGCCTTGATTACAATGAGCCGTAATCAAGGTTGAATGTCATTGATGGGTGATGAGTTGCCACCAGCGTGGTATGGTTCGCCCTTAGTAGTAGCAGGATAATGTTTCACGTACCGTTGTAAGTAAAAAAAGAATCAATACACTCGCAGTCATTAAAATATACCAAGATGAGAGGTAAATTGACATGCCAAATCTTTGTCAGTAGACACGGCGGCTTTTTTATGAGTAACAGTTTAATCGCGTCGGCAACGTGTGAAGGTTTAAGTCCCGATCATTCAATTGAATTGAATGCCATTTGCTGGAAGATTAGATGTGAACTGATAAGTCGTGTACTAGTGATGATGAGTTGCTGTTAGCTAAATTTCTCTTGCGAGGATCAAGCTTTTAGAATTACCATGATATGGACTGCTAGCCTCAAAATTTTCTCAAACGTGGGACTGTTACAGTAGATTTATATATTGGCTGTCTTTTTACGCTAATTTGATTTTCAATATAACACTAGGTAATTAAAGCAGATGCAAAAGTATGCAGGACTTATGCCTCTCGATTTATTGATACCAATGTTAAAATAAATTTATTACATGTGGGAGTTAAATGCTCACCCACTTCGGCCTGGCTCAAAAGGAACTATAAATAGGTTTGTTATTAGTTGGTCCCAAGGGATTGACGCAAGTGGTCCCCGAAGGCTCAGGAGCGGTTTCCACTTGTCGGGGGCTATTAAAATGCTCTAGTAAGGCATCTCGACAAAGTCTTAACAAACTCTCAGTGTCATCACCACCCACACCCGCAGATCTATCTGTCAAGAATCCGCTTCTATCATGCGTGATCATATTTAAGGACGGAAGGAATATTTTTTGTTATTCACATAGCCATGGACTCTGCTTTGCTGCAGACTCAGCGCAGCGGGTTGTGCTACAGACCCACAAGCTAGCAAAGTGAGCAATAACGTGTGGACCCTCAGCAAACGAGGCAGTCTCATCATAGAAAATACTTAGCAAAAGATGTGGCATTGTTTAATTTGGCATACGACGTGCGATAAAGCTCTTCATTGTTCGTAAAAAAAGGCGAGAATTGTTACGATAAGTCCGACTCAAAATAATTCATAGCCGAAATTTTGATTGGCTTTTATTTACAATAAATTTAGCCATTAGGCGCATCCCTATTGCTACGTCTCACACCGAGACTTCCAGCGTATATGCAAGCTCTTTTGAGAAGCGAAAATATGTATATTAAACGTGAAACACATCCTATTTGCAAGAGTCGATAAAACTCAGCTAAATCGAGGTAAGATTACGGGCTGCTATTATCCGCGGGCCTTAGAATTTCAAGAGTATTATACACACAGGCCCTGCGTGCCTTCTTCACTTTCAGTGTAGAGTAGCAAAAACTGTCCCAGTACCCATACTAAATTAATGTAGAAGTATTGCACCTCGTGGACATATATAATCGCTGTAAACAGCAGAGATTGTGCGCACTATAATACGCTTGTGACACTTAAGGTGTCCCGAAAATAGCTTTCGTCGCATAAGTAAACTTTCGATACTGTTGTGCTGAGCGCGGTTTGGTCCTATGTCCATCCAATAGCACGACGTGAGATTTCACAAATTAATAGAGATGTCGCTTAAGACTTGAGCAAAATTCAAATGCTGTAAATTGTGGTCGCCAGGGATTAACTCTGTTGAGAAAGAAATCGAAGGATATGAGCAGTCGCGATTAAACGACATATCGCCGATCGGAAGTGGCTGAAATCACAACGCCTTACTCTCAACAGCAGTTCTCCATTTGTAGAAAGTCTGAAAGGTATGATCTGTTGAAAAGATATAAAGCGAATTGAGCTCACGGTCTCCCGAATTGCGATCATTGAGTTAGAATTTGTCTCTTGCCGATACAGGTGTCTGTGAGTCACGGACAGACGGCTTAGCCCAACCGTTACTCAGCAGAGAAAATTGTTACGGTACAGCTGAGGTTACGTGCCCAATTGAAAGCCCTTCAAACTTTGCTTTTTCGTGGCAAATAGGTGTAAGCACTGAATTGATTAACTGCTGAGATTATCTAAAGAGTGATTCCGTTTCCGCTACAATCAACAGATTTTTTTAGCGGTGAATATATTTTTCTCGGGGATGCATGCCGAAAGCTGCAATACCGGAAATTATACGCTGGTATTGGTAACCTTGAGGGATATAGAGATGAAAAATCAAAAATGCGCTGAGTGAGATGAGCTTTTAGCAGTCATCAAGACTCTTAGTAACGTTGTTAATGTACCTCGTTACCAAAACAGCAGAATGTGCTGACGAAAAATCTACCACTGTGATGCTCTTGATCGGAAATCTACATATCGATTGACCTGGCTTCTGGAACCATATATTGCGTAATACTTTAATGGTGCTTACCATTTAAGGAGAAATGGGAAGTCGCGGATGCTTTCTCTGCGAGTCACTATGCAAGTTTAGTCAGAAATTTAAAAATATCCACTCGGTCTTTTGCAGCGTTGAAACGCTAATGGTCAGTGCAGAGCTGTACATAATTATTGCCATCATTCTCGATTAAATGCTACTTCAAGATGAGCATGCTATATTTATGTATGGTCGAGTATACTCGATACAGCGTTCCCAACTTAGTCCTTGGATATCCATGCGGATCAGTGATATCTCTTTTACCGCTCTAGTGGCTGGGGAATATCTTTAGAAGATTTTTAACGTCATCTCCAACAAACCGGCGCATGGTGGTGTATCTCGTTAGACCACCACATGCATACACATAATTCAACCGCGACGACATATTTGTCTTTGGTGCTCAATGCACTTGAAGTTGAATGTGAATATTCATGTTGAGCATTAAAGAGCTTTTTTGAGAGTTTACGCTTGAACTCTCGATTCGCCTATGTTGTCATTGGTGCTAGTAAATTTAGGGGTCTTTGTGAAGTCTGGAGAAGATTAAGACCGTAGCATATTGGCATGTAGTGATGTTTACTTATGTGCTCTCATCTCACTAACCACTTGCACTCGTTTGTCAGATACTGGCTTAGTCTCTTAACAGTATTGAAAAAAAGAAGCTGAATAATGTTGGGCTGACTTCATAGCAATTGTTCAAGCTGATATATTTTCGGCATCTGGTATGTGTCTGAGCAAATCTGGATTAGCAATTTCTCATTGTATGCGAGTCGTGTCTCTTTGGCGTAAGCTTTGCCTTACCCCAAACTGATACTGTTGGGCAGGATTGCGCTTTTTCTCGCGAGTCTCGCATGCTTAATGGTAAAGATAAGATAATAGGGTCAATAGCTTGCTATAAAGTATGGTCTTGTCAAGTTTGGAGCACACCAACTCGACTTGAAAGTATTTGTTATTTAAACGACTGTACATCTTTATGGTGAACGACATCGTTGCCACAACATTCTCGATTATTAGAAAGATGGCTGCTTACTTTTCTTTACCAGGTAAATCGTTAAAGTAAGAAACAAGCTCGATCGTTTTGAAAGCTAGCAAATTGCTTTTTCGCGCCGCCCGATCAAAATGACAACGTCACGCGGTGACCATGCTTTCCGTACGGCATCAGAGATCCGTTGCCGAACCGCTGGTAGTGCGTCAAACCAATCGCGTTAGTAGCGCTCTTTACGAGATCGTCAGACGGCGACCGAAGTTTGTGAACAACGCATGATGACACTCGTGATGAAAGCCAACGCTCACTGTCGAGCTAACTTTTAAAAGCGCCTGGCAGACAGTTTTCATTCCCAGTTGTCATGTTTGACAAGGATATAATATGTCTCTAGTAAAGCGGTATGTCTACCTTGACTTCGGCAACACGTGGTAGTCCGAGGGTCACCCTGGCACGACATGAATCTGTTTTGGCGTCGCTCAAGATTATGATTTGAAACAAAATTTCCCAGTTAAGTGGCTAAATCATGACGCGCTACTCACTAACGAGTAAGGGCCGGTCTTGTTCCACGCCTAAGACTTCACCGGTAGCTGTACTATCAGGCGCAACGATAAAAATGAATGATTTACGCATGAACAGGGTGACTTCATGGTCACGCTTTGAGCTTCGCAAAGTCGACGATCACAAGACGATCGAGTTGAAGGTCCTATTCCGTAACTTAATTGTAAATCTGCTAAATGGTTGATACGATAATCATTACTAGCGCTGTAATACAGTCATTTGCAGAGTTGCCACGTACTTTAACAGTGTAATATTTTTACTTGTAGAGTCCACACCAATGTATATCTATATAATGGATTAGCGCGTCGTTCCAAGCCCCCAAACTAAGAAAATGCACTAGAACCCTAGCAACGTGTTTTCATAAACACAGCCTCGACTTGTATATAGAATAAATTGTTTGTGCCTAAAATATCCGGCAGAAATCTATAATCCGAAATGATCGATGTCATTCAAAGGAATAAACACGGGAAGAAAGCCAAATACAGCAATAGTTTTTTAACAAAACCACGAGACGATATCCTCGCAAGGGCAGCAACTACGTTTGTAAGTCTTTGATGGAAAGCTGGCATTGTATTGAAGACGATTCCGTTAGGACATGCCGAGGAATAAATTAAACCTGTGATGAAAGGGCACTCTTTTGTTACTGTCATTTACTCGTCGGCTACGATACATCTGCATCAAGCTCATTATTTAGATCCTTACTATCAAATATGATATTATCAATAACTATCTTTGTCGACTTTAACAACAAAAATCTCTTTTGTGGTCGATGGCCCGCGCATGCTGCTGATACATTTTTAGAACTATGCGTGATCGATTCACTTACAAACTGTAGGATGGAGTATCTTCGAAAATGTAACATACTTATCAAACAGCAATACAAAAACAGCATCGCCGTGCACATCATGACGAGCAATAAACCATTATCTGCAAAGTTAATGCGCTAAGAGAGTTGTTCTCTGTACTTCGTCAGTCTCGGCCTGTGACGGTCAACGAACGTGAACTTAGAGGCTCTTTAAGTCGTAGACCGTGGCTATCGATGTAATAGACACTATAATTCGTTTTTGGATTTGAAAGTTGACTTTGTTCATGTTATATATTGCGAATCAAAAAGAGTTTAACTCAAAATCACCACTAGCTAACTAAATATGTTATCCTTTTCATGGCAGTATAGCTCAGTTTAAGATTGTGTGGGCCTAGTAGGCTACGTATCCCATGTACCTCTTCTGGGATACCACGGCCCCCATCTCGTACATAGTGCTTACTATCCTGCGCATTAGAGTACCTCCCATTTTCTTCTGATCTTCGCTGTAAGTCCAATGATCAGCTGTAACGGTGCAAGTACTGTCATCTGGTGTACTTAGCCCTTACACGTTTTGTACAATGGTACGAACTCCGCATTTTACCTGGTGGGATTGTGAGTGAGCATAAATACTATAAAATTTGCATTAATATGATTTCAAGACAATGATCAGGGGAAGCGCGAGGTATTCATTGAATGCTAGCCGCACGACAGAAATGAAGAAAGCTGGTAACAAGGACTAGATTATCGTATATATTAACTTGTAGTCGAAGTATATTGATCTTCAATAAACGTACTCTTGAAAAAGCAGAGCAAACAAACAGTAATTCTCTGTGAGATATTAACATAACCTTGTTGCATCAACAATCTAATGCATTCGCTCATCATCACAATTTATTTGCAACTTCTTAGCAAAAGAGGCTCTTGCTTTGGTCACTAGCATTGAGTCCTGGTTGAAGACACCGCGAATACTCCGTAATAGCTCTACGAGCATCAAACACACCTACTATAGTCTAAATGAATGATGACTCGACTCGACAAGTCACAATTTTTTTGGCATCTGTATCGGACGCTCATTTGGTCAGATTGGTGAAATTCTTTCTGATGAGCTTAGTCAAACAAGTCGGACGAGTTCTGCACACTACTTGCGTCATATCGCTGTCAGTTTTTTAGACTTACTAAGGCCATCGCGCCTTCTTCACTCCGGACTCAATGAGAATTCCATAACTTTGCTCGCTCTACTCCGAATCACGCAACTACGGGTCTAATATCCAGCCCAGATTTGCTGCTGGACTTAACAAAGCAAGCTGGGTATGTTCTCCTACAGACACATATGCCCTGACAACCTTGTTAGGGTCACTGGGAATTGTAAGAAATTGAGATAACGGTTTTGATCTACATGCCTCAGGGTAGCCTTTTGATGTAGTCTTGCAGCACAGTTGATGAGCAGAATTTTACACAAATTTTGCCCGCCCTGAGCCCTCTCTGACCCCACAGAGCATTCACTACCTCTCTGCATTATTTTATCCTCCATGGGAGCTGAATCATTGAAAGTATGGTATGGCGATAATGCCAAGTATTATATGTATCAGTTTAAAGGTTGAGTGTGCTTGGTTTGTCGCCTTACTAATTTGCAGCTTCACAAGTCTCTTCGAGCGCCAGACTGAAGTGTCAAAGAAAAACAATTTTCCAAAGTAATAAGCGCCGCGTAAAGTCATCTTGCGATGAAACAAGCCAGTCTTATTTTTATGTATCTGCGTGTATAGCTACGGACCACGTCTCAGTCACAAAATTGGGAGCAGAATGGGATACTTCATAGCTAATAAGAAGAGACTTACGCTGAATAACCATTAACCTCTCCCAAATAAAGCGAAGGCAGAGGATGTGCCAAATAATAAGCGTCAAACTTACCACGGCGATTTTGCCGGACTGTAATCTCAATCTGTAGTAAACACTGTCCACATTTCTTGAGGAAGGCTTAGATTAAGTGACATGCCTTACTGCGTGTTGCTCACATCCAGCGGGCCGATTACTTGCTTAGAGAGGAAAAATGGTGCAGTGACATTTATTACTATAGCCAGTACAATTTAAATTTACTTAATTTCTTTTTGATAAGTGCGCCCAGTCCTGATATAACAAAACTGAAAGGAGATATACAGCTGTACAGGGTAGCCGTTTAATTTCAGATAAATAAAAATATGTGGTCCAAACAACATGTGCAATGGGACCTGGCCCATTACACCATCACCCCACTCAAAACTGGGTTCACTCAAATTCTTAAAATTTCCTTAACTCTTCTTCAAATTCCTTTTATGACTTTTCTTCAGACTTTTCTTCAGACTTTCTTCAGAACTTCCACTCTGAGTTTCAATATTCGTGACCCACACGAAATTTATCGCGTCGAAGACGACTTGGGCCGACGAGGAGCGCAAAGCAAAACCGCACTTTAATTCGCGGATGCAAAGGCGCCTTCGCCTTCATCAAACTTGGATGATGCTTCAATTTCACATCAAATACGCTTTTGCAGTTTGAGCAAAAGCTGGCATCAACCGACCATCTAGGGCAAATGACGATTGATATAAAGACTTCAATGACGAGCTCAGTCGTCCAGCGTATTTGCGCTCCCGCAAATTCAAAAGTCATCACAAATTTCACATCTTAGGTGGTGGTGGCCCCTTAGGTTGTGGAGCAGCCGCTAAAAAACGAAGGGGGCCCTCTTCGGGCACCCACATCTCTTGTTGGTCGGCAAGAATATCAATACTAC